CGCACGGGAGAGCTCCTGCTAGTGGTAATCGTCGACGCCAGTCGTCAGCCTCGCGCGCCTTAGTGGAGAGGGCGCGGAGGCGCGTCAGCAAGAGGTCGAGGACCTCGGCGCCGTGGGCCGAGAGCGGCAGTGCGATCTCGCCGGGCGTCAGGTACTCGAGCTCGAGGCGGGCGGTGCGGAAGGCCGAGGAGAGGGAGGCCACGATCTCGGCCGCGTCGGCGCCGGGGAAGCCGAGGCTCGAGATGGAGCATGTCAGGGTGATGAGGGCGGCGGAGCGGTCGGCTGTTGTGCGCAGGAGGTGGGCGAGCTGGGCCTCGAGGGGGTGGTCTGCGGGTGTGGCCGGGGATTCGTGGTGCGTGGACCGGTCTGTGGGCGTCGCAGGAGACTGGGGCGTCGCAGGAGATTGGGGCGTCGCGGGTGCGTCGGGTGGTGAAAAGGCAGAGAGGCGGGATGCGAGGCGCGACGTCAACGCCGTGTAGGCTTCGAGGGTGGTTGTGAGCTTCAGTATCTCCCGCCTCATCGAGTCGACTTCGTCTCGAGGTCCTGCTTCGCCGGGTCGAGCAGCGACACCTGCACGGCCGTGTCACGGGCGTCGGGCGTCGGCGGTTGAACGATGGCGGCGCGCCAGGCCGAGGGCGTCTTCGGCAGGGCAGGGCTCGTCAGGGGCGGCGTCGGGAACGAGGTCCTCGCGCGGGTCGGCGTGCTGCAGGCCAGTTCGGCCATGGTCACGTCGCCAAAGCGGTCGTCGTCGAAGCGGTCATCGCCGCCGGCGTCGTTGTCGTCGTCTTCAGTCGCCGTGTCCATGCCGTCATCGGCAAAAGGGTCCTTGGCGGCCAGCGTCCAGGCATAGGTGCGGCTGTTCTCGACCGTCTTGTTGTCGAGCTGGTCCTTGAGGTCGTCGAGCTCCTTCTCGAGGGCCCATATCCTGTCCGTGTCGAGGATGATGGTGGCGTTTTGGAGCTGGTAAATCTCGGCATCCTTGTCACGCAGCTGGGCGCGCAGACGGGCAATCTCGGCGTGGGCGGCGCGGGCGGCGGCCTTCTTCTCGTCCTGGATGGCGTTCATCTCCTCGCTGAGGCCGTTGCGGCGCAGGCGGCGCTGGACGCGGCCGTCGAGGACTTGACGCAGCGGCTCGAAGTGGACCTCGCGGACCAGAGGCGACGAGGCGGCCGGGGCGGCGGGCGAGGCCGCTGCCGGATGCAGTGGTGCGGGCGGGCGTCGAGTGGCGACGCTTTGCGGGCGTGACGCCCCGCGCGAGAGATGTGCGGCGGATCATGGGCGTGAGGCCTGTGGTAAAAGAAGAGGAGGAGGAAGATGCCGAGGAGGAGGCGGAGGAGGCGGGGGAGGAGGAAGAGGAGGAAGAGGATGATGCCGAGGCGGGGGTTGCGTGGGTGAGAATGGGGCCTGGAGCAGAGAAGCGGACACGGCGTTTGGCGGTCGAGGACGGTGCAGAGGGGCCCTGGACGGCTCGGGGCCCAGCAGTGCTTCGACGTGTGCGTCGCAGGGCAATGGGGAGGTCACTGTCCATGGTGGCGGTTTGGCGCTGGTGATGATGGCGAGGGGCAGGCGTTGGTCGTGTCATAGGCAGCGAGGGTGGGTGGCGAGAAGAAGCAAGGTGAGGTTGCGTCCACCATGGATGGCCTGGCGTTACTTGTCAGCTCGAGGCCTGGCGTCAATTGTCAGATCGCGGCCTGGCGTCAATTGTCAGATCGAGGCCTGGCGTCAATTGTCAGCGTCGAGGCCTCAAGTCGATGGCCGAAAAGACAATGGCCGAAGAGTCAATGGCTGAGGATGTGAGAGAGAGGAAGAATAAAAGAAGAGGCAGGCAGAGGCGAGATGCAGTCGAAGTAAACAAATGCTCGACCCCACGCGCACCGACCGACACGCCTGCCGCGGGGAGCCAAACAGGGGAGCCAGGCAGGGACGCAGAGGGCCGTCTCAGAGGGCCGCTGTCTCAGGGCATCAGCCAGGGCATCGCCAGCGGCGTGGACATGTACCTGGGGCTGAGGCTCCAGGGCGTCCCAGCAGCGTGTACTGAAGGCACAGGCGCAGAGCATCTCAAACGGCGTGTACCTGGGGCTCGGGCGCCGGGGGCATGCCAGCGGCGTGTACCGAAGGCGCAGGCCAGGCCTTGTTTACTCACGCCCCGTTGCGGCCTAGCGCGGGCTTGCTTTCTACCTGATCCAGCCGTGACGAGCGATGGCAGCCAATGGATCTCTGCGTGACAGGGGTCTTCCAAACCGCCAGGGCTGAGGTAGGCACCGTAGGTAGGCACCTACCTCAGGGGCCTTAGGTACCTCAGGTGCTCAAGGTCCCTGCTGTGAATTCGCTGCCCTGAAGACCACCCCAACTCTTCACCCTCAGCCTCGCCTCCTCGCCTCCTCTCAGCAACCCTCCTCGCCTCCTCTCCTCCTCTCAGAACCCTCCTCTCAGAACCCTCCCCTCACCCAGCACCGCGCTCGTTGCCAGGTCACCGCCGCACCAGCTCGGCCATGCTCACCAACGCCGCAAAGCCCTCGCCCCCGTGCCGCACCGGCACCCGCGTCGGGTACCCGCAGCGCTTCCAGTGCGCCGTCCACAGCCGCGCCAGGTACACGGCGAGCTCCATGTTGAACCCCGTGACGCGCTCGACCTCGGCCCTGTCCCACGCCGCGATCGCCTCCTCGTACGCCCGCGCCCCCTCCTCCTCCGTGCCCACGCCACGTACTGGCACCGCACCGCCGGTTGTTGGCGTCGCTGTAGCCCCACGCCAGCCGCCCGTCGTCGCTGACCCGGATCCGCGCGAACACGGACGCGCCCTTGCGCCGCACGTCGCTCTGCGCCTTGCCCTGTGCGATGTCAATGCTGAACGACGCGGGGGGACGCCCAAGAGATGCAAAGAAAAGAAGGAAAGAAAGAGAGAAAAAAAAAAAAAAAAAAAAGAGGAAAAAAAAATACCTTCTGCGTCGGCAGCACGTCCTCCTTGATGATGCCAATCTCGCGCCGCGTCCGCGTGACCTGCCGCCGCGCCAGCTTCGGCGCCGCCGGCGGTCCCAGCTCGCTGCGCCAGCCGTTCTCGAAGAGGCCGTGCAGGAACGCCCGCTCCTGCGCCTGGTTCGGCGTCGCCCGCCGGCACGCGAGCGACGCCTCGTGGAAGATGTCGAGGCACGCGATCTTCTGGTTGTTGCAAAAGTCCTGCGGCTTGCGGTAGATCTGCCCCTTGACCCGCAGGATCTCGTCCTTGGGCGGCGGCAGGTCGCGGCTCGGCGTCGACGCCTCCGAGCTGATGCTGTAGTGGTCGCACGACGGCTGGCTCAGGGACGGTGACCGCGCCGCCGCCGCCGATGGGCCTGCCGATGATCCTGCCGATGATCCTGGCCTGCCGGGTGGTGGCCTCGTTGAAGGTGGCCGTGCTGACGGCAGCGGCCTCTCGGAACCGTGTCTTCGGGGCTGGGTCGGGCGTGCGAGCGGCTTGGCCGGCAGCAGCTGCGTCCTGGCCGGCAGCAGCTGCGTCTTGGTCGGTCCCGGGTGCGCCTCTGTCCTCGTCGGGACCATCTTTCGCACGGGGCCCTTGGCTGGTTGTTGCACGTGAAGATTGCCCTTGGCTGGCTGCCGCACAAGATTGCCCTTGGCTGGCTGTCGCACGTCAAGGCTGCCCTTGGCTGGCTGACGAGCCTTGACATTCTCTGTGGGCTGCGGCTGCTGCTGCTGCTGCTGCCTCGGTCGTTTAGAAACACCGTGCCGCTCGTCATCCGACGACGCGGACGCCTCTCGTTGCCGCTGCTTGCCCTTGTGCCCCGCCGTGCCCTGGACGCCGTGCCCGGCCGCTCGCGTCCCCTCTTGAGCCCGACCTTGGCCTTGCCTGCCCTCGAGCTTCGCACCGGAAAGTCAATGCGCTCAGCGTGTACGTG